CGCTGTGAAAGGCACCGCCATTTTGCCCTTTCAGAAACCAATTCAACTGCCAAGGCTGAAGTGCCTCAATTGCCGTCGAGCGGAAGCCCGGCCAGACGCCAGCCGCTTTACACCCCCTGCTGCTAGGGGAATATGATAAACCCGTATACGAGATGGGGAGAATTCAATAACGCGCACGCGTGGGTCTTCGACGGCTTAGGCCGAGTCTGGGTTCAACCTGTCCTTGCCCGCCATGTTGGAGGGCGAAACATGTGTTCAAAGATCAAAGCAAATCACAACGCAGTACATACAGATGGAACCTCCCACAAAGGGTGGCTGACATATGCTCCACATAACACGTTGGATCACCCACACAAATCCACCAAGCCCCTTGGGCGAGCGAATCCATCACACCTGAACTGCTTACTTCAATGCTTACTGGTTACAACTCGGCCGAATGGAATGCCCCAAGTTGGACTCGCAAGTTGCACCGAGAAACGTTGCCTTACCTCCGAGGATTTCTCAAGGGTTGCTTTTTGTTCCCAGGGTCAGCTGGTTTTCTCCGGAACACGGACATCCCCTCTCCGCTTCCCCCACTCTGTGTCCCCGGCGTGGCCGCTGCGGGCAGCTTGCGACTTGGCTCTTGTGGGCGCCTGTGGGCATGGCGAGGGGGGTACTCAAACCTACGGCGAAGCGGCTTTTTTTTTTGAATGTGGCGCGCCTGAAGTGCCGCCCTACCAAAAAAGGCCAATTTCGGCCAACCCCCCACAAATGGTTGCGTGCAGTCGTTCAACAAATGTTTGTTCAATGTGCAAAGCCCAGATACTTCGGGACGGAGGAATCATCAGTTTCAGTGGTGCTCCTAAACCAGTCTCAAAGCCGAGGCGGCACCTGCATAATGAAAAGCTTAGGTAGATTAGCCAAAGACGAATTTCGGATCTTTGGCACGGCGCCTGACGTCCCTACCTTTGGGCTTTGGTTGCGACTCGGGGGAGAACCAGCACACATTTCAGAAAGTCTACAAGCACCCGTGACTGACTGACCACACACAAGCCAAACAAAGAGCAAGATCGTTAAGACAGCAACTGAGCAAATGACAACGAAAGAGGCGAACGCGAACTCCCGGTGTAAAACCAAGGATGCCAAAAGCAGGGCATGCACGAGTCAACCTAATTAAGGCCCCCAAAACAGGCCGGGGTCATCCGGTGCACACAGAGAATAACACCGCATGCTGAAGAGCCTGGCGATTGAAGCTTTTGGCTGCAAAAACTTGGTGAAAGGATGCAAGGTAACTCGTTTGCTTTCTGCTCCCCTGCTCAAAGTTTAACTTTTAGTGGTTTAATGGAAAAACTCGCTGGCAAAAGCTGAAGTCCTAACATCCAAGCAAAATGCACCACAGGTAAAGTGTTACTCTCCTTCTCCGCGGCTTCAGGTCAGCCGAGACAAGGAACACGGGCTCACAGGGAAGCCCATGGTCGCGAGCAAACCCAACGGAGCTGGGCGAGGCCCTCTCGTACAAATGTCCGATCCCATTGCAACCGAACAATTCACGGAGGAACTCTACAAACAGAAGGTTCACTAGAAAACTCTTCCCCCTGTAAACATCATCCCAAAAAAATATCAGCCGCTTTAGTTTGGCCCACAAAAATGTTTAGACCCACCAACCGGCGGACACATCGGGACTGATGAATCGACACCGGAACTCCGCCTGGATGGACCTGATGGCCACGGCTCGGATGGCCACGGCTCGGATTCGTCTTGATGGACTTCGGGGGCTTCACAGCCTGGCGAAGTCAGCGCAGACGTTGAGATGAAGGTTGCTATCGCTCTGGCAAAAGAATCCTAGGAACCTATTCTAGAACCCAAAACAAATAGAACATGTATACTCAACCTAAGAAAAATGGAAATTGGATCAGGTAGAACTCCTGTGCAGACACCGTGGGGGCAGCTCAGTCTTGTTTCCAACCACAGTGGTCATTCAGAGTCCTCTCCCTTCAAGGTCCCATGCTACGTTCTTCAAAGTTTAGCTGAAACCTACCAAAAGATGTCTGATATATGTCTGATCCTATAAGTTTAGCTGACACCTACCAAAAGATGTCTGATACATGTCTGATCCTATAAGCTTCCTCTACACATTGGTGCTTTAGGGTTTAGAACATCAATTTCCCATGTGGGCCTTACATGCTGCCGGCCAGGTCTCGAGCCCGCCTTCTCTGGAACCGGGCCCGGCACATCCTGGCGAGGTTTGGGGGGGTTGCTTGGTTGCAAAGCGCAAGTGCAGGCCCATCGTCGTATAGCAGATTGAACACGGCGAGTTGTTCCGTCTTTGCCACTGCAACTTCCCAACAGCAGATGCCATTGACTTTTGGTTCATCGTCCCGGCATGTCAAATGACCCATCTCATGTATCGAGTTGCTGCACCTAAGAACTGAAGTCGACCCAGTCGTTTTACTCCAAAAGCGAGGTTGTCACTTGCCTTGCCAAAACTATTAATACTAAATATTGTCCCGCTGTGCCAGCAATGCACTCCAATGTCTGATTTGGGTAGCCTTTGAATTGAAACATCGAAACACGTTCGACGACTCTTCCTTATGATGACGTATAAGGGAATTGCGTGGTGCCCCGACCAAGGTTCTGGCGTGTTTGACTTTGCATCCTGCCCAGGCCCCTGTCAAATCCAGCTGCGTGATGCGAAATTGTGAGCTGGATTGTAATTGTCCCACGTACAAACTTGGGCTGCTTCACTATCGCGTCATGGCTCTCCCAAGATGTGCGCGGGAACACTGCGGCTTTCCCTACAAAATAGGCTCATTGACTTCCTAAACGACAGTCGCAATTCACAGCATGCCCATGCCAAAAAGGGTGTTTTTTTGCAGGAATCGGACTCCCAAAATGGTGGTTGTCCTTTCGATTTCCCTCTAACACCAACCAAAAAGGGGTACACTGAACAAAAAGCACATCCGTGAACAAGCAATTTCAATCCTGAGAAACCTTCAACGCTCTTGCACCTAGCCATTTCCGCGATCTCTGGGTGCAACTGAAATATGAGGGAGTAAAACCTGGGAAGCAAACTGAAAGCCGAATCCTCGGCATCTGGAGACGGAGGCCGCGCTGGGCTGAACTGCAACCTCACGGAAAGGACATAGACGCAAGAAGGCTTGATGAGTCGGTAAGTTGAAAAGGCACTAGAATTGGGCTATGCAAATGGCTGGCACTCTTCTGATCCAAAAGACACTAGAATTCGGGCTATGCAAATGGCTGGCGCGCTTGAGTATGTCGCTGATTCAGCTTGTTTGCTTGCTCCAAATCACCGGAACTTGCCAGGAACTGGGGAGTGTCCACATAGAGCTGAGCGAAAGGTAGAAACCTCTGCGGTCGTTTCAAGCAACCGGCTCAAACCAAAATGGAGCAGTCAAAGGGCAACCTCTGCTCGTTGGAGAGCCTCCTCTGATGCTGGCATAATTCCCAAAGTCGAACGGTACATGAGTCCGAAACCAAAGCCGATATTTTCAGGGGTCCATTCAGAAATATAGGCATGGCCGCTTGTGTCCACATGACTTTTGGAGTCATGTATTGTCCGCTGCTCCTCCCACCCTCCGGGCATCCCGGCGTCTTCCATTGCATCACCAGCCAAGCGCAGCCCCAAAACACGCACAGGCCCAGCAGTGCAAAGGTGCGCGGCAAGGGGCACGACATGCCTCGGCGGGTTGGGGGAAACTCGCCTGGTTTTCGCGGCGTGCACTCCACAAACGTCCGTCTGATCACAGCGCATGAAGACACGTTGGTCATACGTTGCCCTTGACCACTTCAGGAAGCCTGGACCCACTGGAGAAAGCACGACTAAACTTTCAGCCTATCTCTTGGGCTTTTTACAGGGAAGCCGGAAAAGATCTCTACGGTTTTTTGAAACAGACAGGAAGCAGTGCCTAGCTTGGGCAATATACGGGGTGAGACAAAATACACAGGAACAATCTCCAATTGCCTGCGATTGCAGGAAAGCACAGCAAGCCAATCAACCAGCAAAACGACCAAGCAGCTGCCCGAGACAGCAGCCTGGTCAGCAAACCGGAGAAGTCAATCGATCAAGCAGCCAGCAAACTAGATTAGCGCACCTAGAAAGTGTAGCCTGGGGTGCTATTCTTGTCCGCAACACAGCTACTCCCTGACTAACCAAGCAAAACTGGACAGGGCACATCTAAAAAACAATGATCTCAGTTGGCAGCACATGGAATTCCAGCCCGTTTTGAAGAGCCCTGACATCGCGAAACTCACTGCAACCCACCCCAAACCGCCGACTCCACCCACTTTAACCCCCTGTTGACATTCATTTCCCTGAAAAAACGAGCCTAAAAACAACCTCACTGGACCACTGGACTCTCTGCTCTCGGTTCCCGCGCCTTTGGACGGCCTCCGCTTGCCCGTCATCTCCCATGGCCGATGCCACGTGGCGTGCGCGAGACGGTTTCCTTCTCACCGTAGCCTGCGTCCGAACATGGAACCCCATGGTTTCAATCCTTTCCGCGTACCGAGCTCTTTTCTAATGTCCGCCCAAGCCAGCGCTAGGGAGGTAATAAGAAACCTAGGATTTGAAGGGATTTTCTATCCGCAAATTGGCCCAACGCGCTCAACAAGCTCGCTCATCTTGTGTCCGTTGAAGAAGACTGCACACAAGACTGCTGCAACTCATAAATCAACAGAGGTACTGAGTTAAACATTGTGCTGAAGTGAGCGTGTGTGTCTGTGTGTGTGTGTCTGTGTGTATGTGCGCACATACAGACGTGTTAGTATAACACATAATATATATATATATGATATGTGTGTGTGGAGATGGGTGTGTGGGTGTGTACATGTCTATTTACATGTGCATGTATAGCAAGCTGCGCCGTGGTGCATCACGGCAGTGTCTCAATTTACTTGATGGGTCAACAACGGCCATCTCTGTCAAGCTGCTGTGATCAAGTTTGACTTCATAGTGGCTCAGGCATGGCCACTGAATTTCCGAATGCCAAGGCAGAATGTACGAGTCATTGCCATCTGGCGCCTTCAATTTGTCTGATCCACAGCGGCTTTCAGTTGCGCACCAAGCTGGTGAGTTGCGGTATGCATATTGGCTATGAACCCCCACTTGTCAAAGAATGGTTCCGGATGGAACTTCCAACCAGTCCGGAAACAAACATAGTTCGCGGCACAACCTATCTTTCCACTGCGACTACTGCTCGCCTTGTTCACAAAAAACAAAACTTCAGCTGATGCCTTCCCCTGTCAACCTGGCCCCCAAAAGGCCGTCTTTCGTGAAGACTTCTCTTGTTCCAGCCTCAAGCCAACGGACCGTGACCATGCATATTGTGATAGATCGATGAATCAGTGCCCTTACGCATCCTGCACCCATCTATGTGCAACTTCCACTCACACACGTGAATGAATGCTCAGCTCTAGTAATGGAGGCCGTGTGGCCCAACTAAATCCTCCAACGCCATGACTCCACTGCTTCTGCGGCTGTGCGATGCAATGCGACTCTTTTCTTGCCACGCGAGCGATCCAGTCCCAAATTCCGAACGGAATTTATGATATCCACGCGGTGTACGGGTTCCTGACGATGCCTGGTCGGGGTATTAACTGCAGAGAGCCAAAGCTGCGGCGGTTGTCCTTGGAAAAGGTTGTCAGCTTGTCAGCTTCACGCTCGTGATGCCCCGTCGAGAAGGGCCCCTTTGCCGGGCCGATGTTTTGTCGATGCCCCATGTAGCAATGCTCCCAATGCTCCTTGATATCTGAACAATAGAGCACAGCTTGGTAACAAACTTCTGAGTGGCATAAAGCTTTCCGGCCATCACGAGAAGCAGGATGCTTCCAAGTTTCTTATGAAGAAGGAACACTTCTCACAAAAGGATGGAATCTGAGCGACTTGTATGGTGTGTTGAGTTGACTCACTTTTCCTGAGCAGTAACACGGAAGCTCCCAAAAACGCATCTGTAATTACATGGCTGGGGTGCGTGGTTCCATTCCGTAAGTATTCAGCCTGGATGCGAAGGCATTCTTTTAGGCTGGCATTCCGCACTCCCAAGAAAACAAAAGATTGGCTTCAAGGTATCTGAACCTCTCCCACGGTGCTTAACTCCTTTGGTTAGGGGGTCCTTTGCACTTCCAAGGAGGCCCGCAGAAATCATTTCAGTGAGCAAGGAAACTGCCCCCGGAGGCCACGACTACATGAGAATATCCTTCCCGGAGGATCTTTTTCCTCTCCAAACTAACAATCGACCAGTGACATGTTGCTAGTCCGCTGTCTGATAGCTTGAGCCAACCTGAGCACTCTGGCCCCTGGCTCCGAATTACTTCAACCTACCCGATGCTCGAAGCTTCGACGCTCGTGAGGCACGGTATAAACGACTTCCCCCAGGAAGACATGGGAATTGAGTGAGTCACTTGATTGTTGTGGGTACAATCAAATTCTATACAACTACTGTATTTCTGGCAGGACAACGCCTATTACAGCACTGCATCGATCTGCACTTGTCATCCACTGATCTAAATCTCAAGGAATCCCAAAGTAAATGACAGCAATGTGGGAGAGCTTGCTTGAATTTGTCTCAATTCCCCCGACTAGCTCTGTATGATTTGCACCATGCAATGAAATCAATATCCAAGGAACTCATGGGAACGCCACTCAAAAGGATGTAGACTCCTCGTAAGTTGAGACTCGTTCTGGCTTCAACCAGCATCATTCGTATGCGAGACGACTTCACAATGAGTGGCTCTTTGAGACCTGGATTTCACTTATTCTCCTGTGTTCAATTGGTTTTCTCATGCAGGTTTTCCTCGCTCCTATGCTCATGTTTGATCAGATATGAAACAACTGCCTATGACCGTCGCTGTGGCTGAGCCACCTGCGGGTCGGAGTTGAACCGGAGCAACGGCTCCGTGAAACAGATGCCAGCCAGCAGGTGGTCGGATGCGCCTTTTGGTGGGTACACTCTTTGCAGACTCAACTTGGCTGGCTCCCCTGCTGAAAGGTGCGCCATCTTTGGGCAATCATCCTCTACAAGGATACACAAATCAAGAGATGTGAGTGGACAGGTGCAATTTCAAGAGCATGATACGTGTGGAGCGACGGACCACAAACAGACAAGCAAGAACCAGACAAGCTATACATAACTTGTCCTGGCTGAAGGATCCGAATCCAGCCACTTGCCTCCACCCGCGCAGAGCTGCGTTATGAGCCCAGCTCACATCACAGGACCCGCAGCGGTTCTCCCTGCTTTCGAGCATTCAGGTTCTCAGGTGGCAAACAGCTGGGTGCTTTCGCCCAATCTGAAAAGACGAGGATCCCCCCTTTTCGTGGGCTGGCTTCAGGGAAGCATGCAGGACAGGACATACCGTCGTTTGTTACATGCTGCCTTCTCAACTAGATATCCATGTATTTTTCTCAGACGGATTTCCATGGGGGAAAAAAAGGGCATCCTTTTTTGGTTGCTTGAGTTGAAAGGGGTTCCCTTTCCCACCGAAAAAGACGGAATCCACTGGTTGCAACTGGGTCTTTGCTTCGGTTCACTTCTGGACTTCGGCGATCTGGGGCGCCAAGACCTGGCGAAATGGTCGGTGTCCCTCTCTCGCTGTCCGACCGGGGGGGGGGGGGGCGGAAAACACCAAGGAAAAGTCGGGGGAAACGACCTGGCCTATGCAAGCGTCACTTGGAGGCTAGCATCCAACATCAACCAGGGTTTTGCACCGATGTTGCGCACGTCTAGCCCGCTTGCTAGGGATTCTGCATGCTTCGGCTGCTTTGCTGCGCTGCATGAGGAACTCAATGATGCCGTGCCAGAAACGCTGCGAGTGCACGTAACAACAAACGCGATTTGGCTTGACCTTGCATTGCCGCCATTTTGGAGGCAAGTAGTTTGTGTTCTTTGGTGGCTCTCCAATGCATCAGCCTGACTCTGCTGGTTTACTTCGTCTCAACGCGGAGCGCGCACGAGAAAAGAAGCTGACATGGCCTTGATGACTGGAGCAAAACAAACTCTCACACAGGAGACCGCAATTGATTAGCTGGCTTGGACGTGCCGCAATTTGCTCGAAAACATGGTGCACAACTTTCACATATGCGGCGTTATCTTGGGACAACCTGCCGCCTACACCTTAGTGTACATAAAGAATTGGCTCATGTCATGAACGTTCGAGCCATCCAGTTCATATGCTGAGTGACTAACTGAACATATGATATCCAGTTGTGATGAAGCCAGTCGCTGTTCGCGAGCCGTGCTTTGCAAATTACACGGCGGACCCAGCATTCACTGGGTGCCCCTGCAATGATTGGAAGCAGCGCTCCTCCTCTTGAGCCTCAGCTTGCACGCGCACATACCCAAACGAACATGTGAGGCAAACAACATATCCCTAACGAATTGCCAGGCAGAAACTGCATGGCCCAAGGAAAACTGGCTGGCTAAAAGACAGGCACCTGTCTGGCAGGGACGGAACAAACAACAAACAAATTAAGAATACAGGGCACATAACCAAGCAACCGACCAACCAACCAATCATCGGGAAGGGAGCCCAAATAAGCCCTAAATAAGGCCCTATTAAGGGCTTATTTGGGCTCCCTCCCCCCTCCCCTCCCTCCCTCGCAGCCCCCATGAAATCAATCAATCAACCAAACAACCAACCAACCGACCAACCAACCAACCAACCAATCCAGTCCAATCCAAATCAAATCAAATCAAACCAAACCAATCGAATCTAATCGAATCCAATCAATCAATCAATCAATCAATCAATCAATCAACCAATCAATCAATCAATCAATCAATCAATCAATCAATCAATCAATCAATCAATCAATCAATCAATCGTCCAATCATCCAACCAAATCAATTCAATTCAATTCAAATCAAATCAAATCAAATCAAATCAAATCAAATCAAACAATCAATCAAGCAAGCAAGCAAGCAAGCAATCAATCAATCAATCAATCAATCAATCAATCAAATCAATCAATCAAACCATCACTGTAAACAACATGCATCGCACCACAGCCTTTTGAGTCGCGGCTCAAACTCAAAGCATTGACGGAGATTACAGCGTTGGTGGACAGCGGCACGCAATGCCTGCGTGGAGCGCTTACGTGGAACGAGTGCTGCCAACAAACCCCGGAGTGGCAGGCTCGAGCACGAAGGATTGGGGTTGTTTAACAACGCGCCAACACGAGTCACGAAGAAGTGACAAGGCCGCAGCGGCAAACGCCCCGGCTGTGGCCTTGGGAGTCAGGGCGGCTGCGGGAGGGGAGAGAAGAGGCGACAGGAGGCAAGAGGTTGCATGATCATGAGGCTCAGTGAAAGCGTGTGCACCCAGGCCTGCCAGTCCGAAACACATCGCACATCACTGTAACCAACATGCATCGCACCACAGTTTTTTGAGTCGCGGCTCAAACTCAAAGGGGGTGACGGAGACTACAGCGTTGGTGGACAGCGGCACGCAATGCCTG